TTTTTCCCCCATGAGAGCGCACGGACTGAGTTATGATGGATTCAATTAGGCCTCCGACAAGATATCCGCACGTAAAGCTTCTTCTGTCGCTGCCACCGCCTTAACCCAACCCCCACAAAGAGAAAAATCAACAAAAAAGATGTTTATTTTCATGTGTGACGAAACTTTTGCGCGTATAAGGTGTGCATATGTGGAAGGGAGTTGCAGATACAGTGACGAGGTGGGTACAGACTTTTAGGAAGACTTTGCATGCGTTTGAATAAATCTGGGTAGTTTTGCACAATTAAAAACAAATGTGCAGGTTTTTGATTGTGGTAGTTTTTAAAAAATACACAGCGAACTGGGAATGCGAGTGTTTTCTTTGTTTCTTGCCTGATTAATAATTAACACTTGGCTGGTTGCTGGCAGTTATCTGTGCGTAAAATCTCTCTCGGGGTTCTCACAACTTTACTCATTGTCCCGTCGCGCTCCGTCCTTTGTTGTTTCCTGTATTAAAAACGTGACAGCTTGATTCCAGGGTTTAATCTCCTAAATGGACGTAAACTCGGAGGGTAACGCGGCGCAGCGCGGGTTCCATGTGCTCTTGTTGATATTCCGTGGTTCAGCGGATGTGATATCAAACACTTTCTTTAATTGACTGCGCGCATCACTGACGCGGTTTGGCGCCACTTTGACACAGGCTCTACCGCAGGAGCCCGTAAGAAATGTTAGATTAAAAGTGTTCGCCTTCTCAATTTAAAACAACAAAGGAATGAAAATATAACTTAAATATGAGTTCTCTTGTCACATCTTTTAAAGAATAAACCTTTCATTTTAGTTTTCAATTAAAAACTGTTTTGGGGTGAAATTAGTTGGAGTTTTGTTTCTCAAAGTCGGGACACCTAACTTTAAACCACAATAAATTAACCCATGAAAAAAAATCCACTAAACTTATTTATTGGTATATTACTAGTTTTCAGATGCATCCATTTTTAGGTCTCACATCTAACATGTGATAGATGAGCTTATTCAGCCAATCAGATCAAAGCGTCAAATGGTTATTCACAGGGTTCAGTCTTAAAAGGTGATAACATTTGTGGAATTAAAAAGTTAATTCCAGAATTTTCTGTCAGGATAAAAGCAATGTTTATGAAATGTTTGATACCCCAGCTTTTAAGGGCAATTTTCCCATGAAGTTTGCAAGTAAACAAATGACCTGTGATATTAACAAACTTATTTATGAATAAAATGCCTGCTTCCAATCATTCTTCCAAGCATTATCAGATATGCCGGGTTTTAAAGTATGCTAATTGGCATAAAAACATGGACAATATACAGTGGGCCTAAGGGAGCAGTGTGGGAGGGCATTAATGTTCCCTGATTAATGACAAACCTACTTTTAAAATTTAGAAAGGGTTTCAAATATATGCTGGCTAGACTAAGTAACTTTTGAGGAAGACTTTGTTCATGACTATTGAAGTCTGTTCTAACCCTACTATATATAGCAGCCAATTTAAGATGTTTGGATTGTGAAAACCAATTTTGGCAAGATTAGTTATTTTTGTCCTTTTTGTCCTTTTCCTCCAGGTGCTCCAGACAACGCTAAATGTGTGGTTGTCATTGCGGCCCTCGTCCTGCGGTTCTCCAGCTAAGGTGCATCTAGTGTAGTTAGTGACATAAGGATCTACTGCCCTGGGTGCTCTTTTGGCTGGAGGAGACGCTCAGATCTAGAGCCAGGTCGCGGACGTTTTGGCGATTGTATTTTAGAAATGCTATGCCGAGCAATGCGTTACCAATGATTGATAAGCCATAGCTATTTGACTTTTCGTGCCGTGCATTTAAATGGAAAATGGACAGAACATTAGACTTCAGGTAGTGTCGCTTTTACCTTTTTGAATCTTAACATTTCCTGCAAAAAGCTGGGCAATCTAGCATGTTTTATAAAGATATGCTAAATGTTTCTAGTGACTGTTTAGTCCTTTGTGTTTAACTAATCCAAATAAAACGTGCATTTAAGAGCCGTCAGAAATGAATGGTAGGAGTTCTAGCATTTATGTTTACCCTGCACATCTTTGACGAGTTTCCAAGTGTCGCCAATAACCGTGCCCTTATTGAAATGTTCAAATCCTAGTTAAAATTGTCAACGTTGCCAACTCACATTTTGGCAGAGCTCTCATTGTCACATTGAGCTGGTCGATGGGGAAATGCAATCATCCAGAAAGTACACAAGCTTTACTCAATTGTTAGTCATTTAAAACATTAGATACTTCATTGATCTCACAACGGAGAAATTTAGGATTCAGAAGTTGTTTTAGTGCCTTTTTAAAAGTGGCAGGAAGTCTCTAGGAATTGGTTTTGTCACATGCGCTATATGACACAACCAATCACGGGTAATGGTCTATAGGTAATAGGTCTAACCCCAAGCTTCAAAATGGTAATAAAGAAAAATGTATAAATTAATGTCATTTTCGAATGTAGAATTTTCTCCCGTTTTTAGTTTGGCGGCTCATCCCTGGACTGTGCGGTGCCAAAGTGCTCACAGTGCAGGTAGTGTGTGTATCTACTGCAGTCTGGGCACTTAAGGTTTTGCAAGTCTCTTTCCACCTGGACGTTTCTCCCTCTCGGAAACTGGTTTTGGCTTTGGAGCTTTGCTGGTTTGCTCTCAGCTTGTAACTCTGTGCTGTGCAAATCCATGCAAAGCTCTGAATTCACCAGACATGTCTACACCATCACCTTGACAATCATCTTCATTTTTTAATTTTTGTTTTGCTTTTTAAATGTGCATTAACAGCTGTTGTGTTCACTGCACCTGAACATAAGCATGAATTTATCTGTCTGTTTTCGGGTGGATGACTTTGCAATTTCAATACTTTAGTGAATGAAAGAAATTGCACAGTATCCATCTGCAATCCGCCAGATGTTGAAAACCACTAAAACTATTGGATTGTGAAAAAAGAAGCGTTAACGCGCCAGTCCTGCAGTTGTTGTACCTCGCAGCTACACGAGATGGCGCCATTTGGCTTAGTTTGGGCCTCATTCTGTGGCACTTGGACAATGTACCAGATGGTTGGTTTTACTGTGCAATAAAAATGTCTATAAAATTGTGATCTGAGCTTCAATATTTCTAATTATTTGGTAAAGAATGGCAATTGGAATGGGTTTGTTTGCAGTTTTGCATTGGAAAATAATTTTAAAGAGTTTTTCCTCCTGGTCAATTATAAAATTACCATAATTAAAAAAGGGGCAAACCCTGCTAGAGCAATGCTATTGTAGCCAGTAAGGGTTTTGGTTTGTACACCAAATGTGTATGACCTGGAGATTCACAAATGGCTGTTCTATTTTCTTTTGAAGTATGAGTAGATGTGTGTAAGTGATGGTTTGACCATGGAATCCTTAAATGCAGATAAAGGCTGGGATGACTAATGGATGTGCAAGTGCTCAGTAACTTAAAGTCCCTTGTATTTCTGGAGAACCTAGTGAAGTTAAAGCTGTGTTATCTAACTTTCAAACAAACTAAAAATCAGTGTCAACAGTTTTGCTCTTACTGAACTTTATGTACTTTTAGTTTTTGGCCCTGCCCTCAATTACAATAAAATGCAGCTCAATTCAACCTCAAGGACTGTGTCTGAAAATGTGAGACGGGCTTATACTCTGACGCTGTTCAAATCCAGGTTAAAAGTTCTGCAAAGCTGTGCATACGACTGACACATTGTATATTCAGGCTTTAACCAGAATTCTGAAACTACTAGAACTCCTGGAGCAGTCATTTTGACGGCTTCCATTCAAATTAATAGAATACTCCAGTATCCATCCATCCATCCATCCATCCATTTTCTACCCTTTAATCCATTTCTGGGTCAGGGGGTTGGCAGTCAGAGATGCCACCCAAGTCTCATAGCACCAGCCCCTCACTGACCCTCTGCAGGTGGTGAGTCCACAGGAGGACGGCTGCTCTCTGAGTGTGAGCATAGCCTTGATCTTTCAGCTGGGGCTTTGGGCAAAGTGGGGTTAAGTGTCTTGCCCAAGGACACAACGACAGCAGTCATCAGTGGGAGTCGGTGGAGAAGGTGCAGAGGTGGGAATTGAACCCACGACCTTCAGGCCTACTCCAGTATCCATTGATATCAATTAGTAAAGGATTCGGCTTTTATGTTGAATACATGCTAGAACTGGTTAATATAAATGGAACATGGCAAGACGAAACTAAAATCTCACTTCTGCATGTAAACAGTGCGTTGCTATGGTAACTAGCACTTGCTCCAAGATGAGACTGCTCTGGACCAGTCTTGGCTCGAGATGATTTCATAAACTTAAGAGAAATAAACTACAGACAAACGATCAAAGTTATGAAAACCAAAAACGCACATAAGCGGAGTTATTACACTTCCAAAACGAAAAGCCATCACATTGAGTTCTAGTGGTAATGCAATGAGACTATTAAAATGCCTTGTTTGATTGTTTCTATCTTGATTTCTTACGCACTTGAGTTGCCTTTATGTACAAACTATTTACAAGCGCCTTGCCTTAACACTCCACACAATCCACATTTCTCCTCTTCAGCATATTTCTCTCCACACGCGTCCTAATTGCTTCCCCCCCTCGCTGTCGTGCCATTTATCTGCACCTCTCCACCTGCACCTCGCATTAATCCTACTCTCAGCCTCTCGCTCCGCATCCACAGAGGACCACAGAAGATCCAGAGCCCAGGCGCCGCTGGAGAGGAGGGGGGGTATATACTCTCTGAATACGCACACGCTCACGTCTCCTTTTTTTACTTACAGCTGTTCTTTGCACACGCAGAGCAAAGACACGGTGTCGTTTATTAGTATAAGTTCAGTTTACGCGCAAAGACAGGACCTCCACAGAACTACATATAGGGAAGCTGACCTAACCGGGACATCGCTTCGTTCTCCGTGGATGCAACTTCTCCCAGCCTTCGCCGAGCCATACCCCGATCTCTTCGCTGCTTTTCACCACTTTACGCACGGTTATTTTGGGTGGTTTTGTTGTCGTGCGTTCCCATGGCGGTCGCTTGGGTCCTATGCACCCTGGTCCTGGTCCTCTCTGTCCCTGGAGGAGGAGGACACGTTCAGAACTGCCAAGAGGTGCGAGCCGTGTTTCACACCTTCCACCCGGGCTCCAAGTGGGTCCCCGAGAACCCCGTCTCAGGTAAATGCATTTTAAAACATCACTAAACTTGCACGTACGAGGCGTAAATGTTGGGTTTTACACGGAAAAACGTAAACCTACTTTTAGATTTGGACTGTTTCGGCTTCTGTGTATCATGTTTTTATGTCTCTGATTGAAGCACGTGCGCTGCAGGTGCGTTCGAAGTTAATAGCCGCCATGATAATTTGACAAAAAAAACCACGCTAGTCGACGTTCTCCAAACTTTTGTAGACATGGAATAGTCTGTGGTTAAAGCTGCGGTACCTAACTTTGAAATCGTAAGAAAAAAACCCAAGTCAATTCCAACTAACTCGTTCCCTCAAAACACTTTGGTTCTATCACTAGTTTTTTCACACTCATTATTGTCCTCTGCTCGGTCACATGTCTGGACCTGGCTTTTTCTGACACAAAAGTGAAAACTAGAGAAACATTCTTGGTCAGAGTTCAACCTAAACAGTCAAATTGTATTCAAAATTATGCTATAGGTGATATTTTATAATAATATGAAAACTGCACAATATTTTACTTTTAACAAGACTTTCTGTTGAGAAAAACCCAATGTGTTATTTGTTACTAAAAGTTTTGTATCCCCGGTTTTAATTATGCCTTTTTGGCTTTAATTTGTTTAGTGTATTCTCAATCTCTTTTTTAAGTTTACACGTGTTGAATTTGATTTCATTTAGAATATCTCCTTGTGATTCTTTCTCCTTCCTCCTCATTAACCAGACTGGCTTGACATTTTCGACCAACATTTCAGTTTCTTAAAAATTGCAATTAAAAGCTCAATGTCAACGTTTCAAATCGATACGGGGATTGGGGAAGGGAAAAAGCTTGTAGTTATGCTGTGGCAGCCGTAGGGTTGAGTATTTAGACATGACTTTTGAGCCGAAAGATACACCGTGAATATTGTGATTTTAAGGCATCTATCTTGATAAATAGATACATATATTTTTAAAGCATGTGTGCTGTTTCTATGGTTAATACAACTCTGGCCATAGAATGTATACTGAAAGAACAGGCTGAAGTAATGCTTATTGTTGCCTATCCAATCACCATAAAATAAAACCAATCACCTCCATACATATAATAATAGTGATTTAATTCAATAGTGAATCAAGTCAGTAGTTTGTAAAATTAGTTAGTTGAACATTCCCACTATTGATTTGACCTAATATCACGAGACCATCTTTCACTGGCTAGTAGTTTTTAATATTTCACTCATTGTATGTTTTTTTGGCTGACATGAGCGACTACACAGTGATTTTTAACCTATAGATTGAGCCTTAATGTTAGATTCAACCCTCAGCTTCTGGTGCCTGTGCAAAAAACCTGAGTAATGTCCAGTCTTCTCTTGATTTGATCCTGGCCTGAAATCTGCAGAGTTTTTATCCTCCAGTCCCTGTATTCAGCAGCAGCAGTTGTGGTGTTTTTTAGCTTCTGTCACTGACCTCTGGGTCCTCTCTGCCCACTCTTCTCTCATCCCTCCGGCTCCACATTTATCATCTCCCTCCACAGACAACCCACTACCGCAGGAGAGGGGGCTAACATTTAATGAACTAAGTGTGTTGTAAGTAGTGCATGATGGTGAAAAAGACTCGACATGACTGAAAACTGGAGTTATAATAAATGTTGTTTACTATTAAGATCAAGGGTGTCCACATTTGGCTGGCCAGAGGGTCTCAAGATCTGGAATGTGTCTATTTGAAAGCGTTTTGCACTTAAAAGACTGGACATGGGATATTTCCATAAAAATTCATTAAAGAAGAATTAATTAAACAAACATTTTTTCCATCAGCACCATTGGCGAGGCATTTTAACTGTCCCATCAAGTAAAATGGCTCGCGTCCCCCTAATGTATAAATTAAATTAGTAGAACACATATTAGTATCTACTGATATTACAGATTGAGCCTTTAAAAAATGTTTTATATCCATACTGTATGTATTGCTTTCTCGCTCCTGTTCTGCGTGCGCATTGCAACATTGTTATGACAAAAGTAATTTAATCTACTGACATATAATGTGCCTTCAGTCAGTGGTTCTCAAACAGGGGAGTGTGAGACTTAGGAGGGAGAAATGTGGTGTTTCAAATGTAGATATTAAACTATTTATTAAAACACGTTGGTTTCTTCAGCTGGTTGGGAATTGGATGGAGTAAGAGCCACAAGCTGCTGTGAAAATGTTAATTTCACGGCACTGTTGGCAGCTTTTCTGTATGGAGTTTGCATGTATGCGTGGGTTTCCTCAGAGTGCTCCGGTTTTCCACCACCACTTAACACATGTACAATAGGTCTGAATGAAACAAGTGAGAGAATGGCAATGATCGGAGGCTTCCATGCGTCTGGCTTCTCACTTTTGTATAAAATATCGGTTCTCCAAAACATTTTCTACCGCTTTGTGTGACTTTGATCTGTGAAATACACCATATAATTAAAGATTACCGACTGACTTACTTCCTAAATAGCATGTAAATGTTGTGTATTCTAGCACTGAGGCTGGTGATGAAAACAGATTGTTGAAATGGAAGTTTAAGAGATGAATAACAAACTTGCCATATTGATCTAAATTGATTTTAGAGGCGCTGCGTGCAAACTCTGGAGGTTTTGTTTGAGGTATTTTTGTCTGATAGAATCCTTCACTTTTAGGAAAATAGACACAATTCATAACATAAAACTAATAAATCATTATTCGTGAAAATGTATTTTAAACGCGTCACACCGATAGTCATTCCTTAGTCGGTGAACAATTCTTTTACATGTTCTTTATAAGTTTTGGGTAAGAAAAAAGTAATTTCCTTTTGTTACATTATAAAAATAAAACTTTTATTTTTAAAGCAAATGTTTCTTTTTGTGCTTAGTCCTGGTTCATTCTTCCATGAACGTATACACTATCCCTATATTGTATACACTTGCTGGACGACTGGGCTAAACTACAGACCCCCAAGAGGCAGAGGCCAGAAGAAACTCACACATTATACAGACCTCAATTTCACAACTTTGACATTTCTCACACCATTGTATTGTTAATTCATTGATATGATTTGATGAATTGCACAGCGATAACTAGTGCATATGTTATCAATTTGCTCAGTTGCGTGAGTTTGACGTCCTCTGACCTGTTGATAGAGACGCTCTTCTTTGACGGATCACTCCTGGATGAATGAGTTGTTCCGCTTCCCGTGTGTCATGCTGTAATCCTCGTCTCTATTACTTCAGTCTCGTTAATAGCTTTGGTCACTCATGTCCTTTTGGCAGCTTCTCTCTTTGGCATCGTCCCCAAATTAACTTCTCTAACATCAATTATGTCCAGGGCCTGAAATGTTTTTCATAATGTAATTGCTCAGAACCTTAGTTATTGCTTCTGGCAGACCTACTGTTGTGTCGTTGAAAATTAGATGATGGTGCTTTGCTTTATGGCTCACGAAACAACAATAATATTGATTGGTTTTTGATTCACTGGAAATATTCTTGACGGTGTGAAAACTGCTTTTAATTAAAGATATTTAATCTTTGCGTTATTTATTTTTGGCTTGAAGGTAAGTAATATTGTGTTGTGTGCCTGTAACTTGTGATCCAACACTGGAATTTCCCCACTGAGGGACCATAAAAGATCTTGTAATCTTAATTCTAAAATCTTGTAATCTTAATCTTCGAATTTTGATCTGTGGTGGAGCAGTACTTTCTACAAGAGTTCAGTGTAGATCCAAACAGCGAGACTGAATACAGAAGTGCACAGCCTTTTTAAACATGTTTTAGATCAATATTGAGATTACAAATGGAGAAAAAATATATCTTCAAAAGCGCTCGTAGAGCACAGACCGGTCCCAAAAGATGCAGTTCCATCCATCTGCTACCCCTTAATCCATTTCTGGGTCAGGGGGGTGGCCAGAGATGCCACCCAGCACACATAGCACCAGCCCCTCACTGATCCTCCTGCAGGTGGTGAGTCCACTGGAGGATGGCTGCTCTATGGCATAGCCTTGATCTTTCAGCGGGGGCTTCAGACAAAGTGGGGTTAAGTGTCTTGCCCAAGGACACAACGACAGCAGTCATCAGTGGGAGTCGGTGGAGAAGGTCTCATGGTGAACCCATGACCTTCAGGCTCAAAGGCCAATGCTCTACCAACTTAGCCACTGTCGCCCATGATGCAGTTCCATTCCTGTAAAATCCTGCACTTGTTCACTGGGACTTTGCATTTGAAAGTCCCAGTCTGAATGTTTTGTCCAAATTCTCTTACAACATTTTGAGTTATGTTTCTCACTAATGGACAACAGACGGCATTGGTTACTTTACCTCTTGGGCGTCCGTAATGAGCCAAGTGTTATGGATCAGTGTTCGCGAACCTTGAGCCGTGACACCTTTCATGCCATGACATGCCACCAGCTTCAACTAATACTATCATGAAACTCTACAGCCTTTTTTAACAACGCAATGATAACAAACACATAAAGCTATTGGTCCATTAGAGGCAGACGACAAATGTCCATAAATGTTGTTGAATGTCGAGAGTCCTGGATCATCACCGCTGTCCTAAGACGTATCAGCAAAATGTTTATATTGAAAAATCAAACACACACAAAAAATCTTTCTGATCTTCTACATTATTTTCTTCTCACATTATTTTGACCAATCCGGTGATATTGGATCATTGAGTGCTATCCACTAAGCACGGTGGCTGATTGGATAGCACTCTCGCTTCTCAGCAAGAAGGTCCTGGGTTCGAATCCCGGTCGGAACAGGGTCTTTCTTAGTGGAGTTTGCATGTTCTCCCCGTGTCTGCGTAGGTTTCCTCCGGGTGCTCCGGTTTCCCCTACCACTAAAAACATGCACAATACAGTAGGTATTGATGTAAATGTGAGAGTGAATGGATGGTGTTGATTGGAGGTTCCAGTGTGTTCTGGACTCGCTTCTGTCATCATCGTGTGTGGAATGATTGGAACAATATCTGACTCTGAACATTGTAAAGTGCTTTGGGTCTGTACCTTGGTCTGTAAAATGCGCT